AGTATGCCTCCCGCCCAAGCCCGCCAGGGACAGAATGGGAGGGGCGGGCGGGGAAGCTGGCATGCTTGCCTGTGCTCTGCCCTCTGCCCCTCCGGGAGGCATGACTGTGACCGTGGGATGTCCCCGTGGCCGACCCCTAAGCTCCCACCCTCTGGACGGAGGAGAGTGAGGGGGAAAAAGGAGTTCAGGAGTCTTGTCTCCCCTCCATCTTCCCGCCTAGGTCAGGCCAGGATCTGCCTCTCTTCTCCCTGTCCCTGTTCCCCGTTCCTCTAAAGGAGTGACTGGAGAAACTGTCCGTCTGTGTTTGTGATTGTGATTAACATCGCAAAAACCTTCAAAGAATCTCAGATCGGTTAGAAGCCCGTTGGGTTTCACTTCTCAGGCGTGAGGGGTTGTTATCTCCCCCGCCCTCTCTCTTGATTTTTTTTTTTTTACAAATTGTTAGGGAAATGGTGACATACAGAACGGTTAAAGTATGCCAGTCCGCACCGGTGGCTCGCGTCTGTAATCCTAGCTGCTCAGGAGGCTGAGAGCTGAGGATCACGGTTCAAAGCCAGCCAGGGCAGGAAAGTCACCAGACTCTTATCTCCAATAAGGCACTGGAAAATCGGAAGTGGCGCTGTGGCTCAAGCGGTAGAGCGCTCGCTTTGAGCTGAAGAGTTTAGGGACAGCACCCAGGCCCAGAGTTTAAGAAACACCACCGACCCCCCCCCCCCAAAAAAAAAAAAGGATAGGAAAGATTACATTACATAAGTGGGGTAGGAAGAGTACATTTTTTTTTAATTAATAAGTTTTTTTTTTGTTTTTGTTTTTGTTTTTTTTTCTCGTGGGGCTTGAACTCTGGGCTTGGGCGCTATCCTGCCCGGGCTGGCTTTGAACCGCGATCCTCAGATCTCAGCCTCCTGAGTAGCTAGGATTACAGGCGTGAGCCACCGGCGCCCGGCTAATGAGTTGTTTTAATTGTGAAAATACTTACAGAGTGGTTACAATGACAGGAGCAAGAGCAAGGAAATGAGTACATTTCTTATCAAGCATTGCTGCCTCCTCCTTTGTTTCCATTCCTGCCCTCCCATTTCCCCCCACACCCAAAAAAAGAGTACATTTTTTTTGGACAATGTCACCCCTTCCCTGGCTCTCTCACAGATTTTCCCTCCCTCAAGTTCTGTTTGTTCCCCAGCCACAGGTTGTGTGTCAACATAGTGTCTAGTGAGTGCCACTGTTGCACTTCTTCATCCTGGGTCCCTCCATTTCTTGCCCCTCCCGGAAATAGATGAAGGAAGAAACAATGGGGGGGGGGAGAGAAAACAAAATAACGTCGATGATAACAAACACAAAGAAAGGGGAAGACTTCTTATGTGATCAGAGGTATATAGGCATTGCACTTTGGTGAGCCTCATGTCTTCAATTAAGCAACCCAAAGGCCAGAAGTGGAGTTTTGGCTCAAATGGCAGACTGCCAGTCTCTCTGTTTTTTTTTTTTTGGCACGGGGTAGGGGGTGTCCGGTCGTGGGCCTGAACTCTGGGCCTGGGCGCTGTCCCTCAGCTCTTCAGGTTAAGGCTAGCACTCTACCACTTGAGCCACAATGCCACTTCCGGCTTTTTTCTGCTTATGTGGTGCTGAGGAATCGAATCCGGGGCCTCATGCACGCAAGGCAAGCGCTCTACCACTGAGCCACCTTGCCAGCCCCAGAGTGCCAGTCTTGAGCACAAGAGCCACGGGACAGCACTCAGGCTCTGAGTTCAAGTCCCAGGATTGGGGCGTGCACACACACACCCTGCACCCCTTGATCTTTGCTGCTGTTTCCTACCACACAGACACAGGCACGCATGGCAGCATGTGATCTACCTCTTCCCCTCCCCCCCCCCACACTTTGCACTGCCACCACCGCCGCCGCCGCCGCCGCCGCCGCCGCCGCCACCAACTATAGCAACAGACTTCCTAGGCTTCCCCTCCGCGCCCGCCACCCTCCCCCCCCCCCCCCCGGCCCCTAGTTTAGATCGATGAACCAAAGTGTCCCCACTGCACGTTCGGCTCTGGCAAATATCAGATAGGATTACAGTGATGAGGAGAGAGGCGAGACCCGCCATGGATTGACTGTAGATCCCAGAGGACAGAATGCCAGCCCAGGCCCATTCATGGGTCAAGCCAGGAAAATGTTTTTTGGTTTTGTTTTTGTTTTTCATCTGCGGTCTCTCTCCACACCCGGTGTGCTTTGTCTGTCTGTCTCTCTGTGCGATAGGGGTTTGCCATTCATGACCTGTGTGGGCGGGGATGCTGGGGCGTGTGTGTGTGTGTGTGTGTGTGTGTGTGTGTGTGTGTGTCTGTGTCTGTGTGTGTGTGCGCGTGCGTGTGTGTGTGTGTGTGTGTGTGTGCGCGTGCGTGTGTGTGTGTGTGTGTGTGTGTGTGTGCGCGTGCGTGTGTGTGTGTGTGTGTGTGCGCGCGCGCGCGGGTGAGGGGGAGGTGTTCCTTCCTCACAAGACCTTCCTAAAGTGTCGGTTCGGTCTGGATCGATCTTGGGCCTGACGTTGTTTTTCCTTGTTTCGGGGTGCCACCTACTGGACACCGTGTGGAGTGACAGGGAGTGATTCGGGGCTGATGGCGGAGGCTGGCGACTCTCGCGAGAGTCTCGCAGACTCTCGCGAGAGTCGCGATGAGGTATCGCCGGCTCTCTTCTGCGGCTTTATTTACAACAAAACAAAATGAAACCACAGCAAACAAGGAAATTTTCTTGAAGGGAGGGCCGAGCGGAGGGGGAGGGGGGCCCGCAGGGGGTGTTTCTTTTCGTTATTTTCTGGACACGGAATTCGTTTGGATATTACGTCTTATGAGCAAACTGTACCAGTTTATTTACGGTTGTAATTTATATACAGTAACACAAATGTCTTTACGTCAGTATTATGAAAAAGGGTCCCACGGCTGCAGTGGGTGAAAGATTGAGACGGGAACATTTCTCAAGGAGTGCCAAGAAAATGGAAAACAGGCAATGCAATAGTTCAGGGAGAGTTATAAATATCAAGTGCTGCCCTAGGTGAAATTTCATGCAAATGTCCTCACCCACTCAGGTAAACTTTTTATATAGGTATCAGAATAAAATTTCTTGAACTATATAGACTTTTATTCACTTGATTTCCCTTAAGTAAGTTAAAATAACTGGCTGTTGACAGGGCACATCTGGATATTTCTATCGGTCCCATAGAGATAATCTGTTAAATTTTAGAACACGGTAGATTATATTTGCTATTTCCCCAAATGGACTTTACAAAAGCCATCCGTGGCCCCAAAGATGTATCTGGACCTCTCATCATGTGTGACTAAATAGGCCTCAGTGAATTAAGCTGAGAAAGCTGCAAAACAAAGCAGATCACTTCAGTTATGGGAACATGAAGAGAACAAAAGTAGCTTTATGCCACTGGATCTTTAGTGAGAAGATAGAATAAAAAGAAGAAAAAAATATTGGAGGATGCAATATAAACCAATTGAAACGTATCCAACCGATGATCTGGCTTTGAAGTGGCTATTTACTGGTGTGGTCCTAGACCATGGTGTCCAGAAGGATACATCAATGTGTTTTGAAAGATCCTAAACCAAATATACTTGTAATAATGACAGGTACGTTTCTGTCCTCCTAATTCCAGCTTTAATCCTAACACGTCCGGTTGTGATAATACGTTCACAGTCGTGCCACTTAGGGATATCACGTCTTATGTCTTCTCTGCAATATCTTAAATGCTCAGAGAAGTTACACCTTCTGACAAAAGGACGTTATGTGTGTCACCCACACGGGGACACACACACACACTCTGTTTGCCCGGAGTGCTGTGTAGCTTACCATGTCCAGTTATAGTTTAGGTCTAGCATCCACATAGGAGGGAAAACACGTGCCGTGCCGTTGGTCGGTCGGTCGGTCGGTCGGTCGGTCTGTCTGTCTGTCTTTCCGCCGGTCTGTCTTCCCCTGGCATCACCTGTTCTAGGTTCTTCTCCGCCGCCGGCAACCCCCCCCCCCCCCCCCCGCCCCTCGCGCTCCTAGTCCGTCGATCTACTTCCCTCTGTCTGACATAATCTTATTCTTATTCTTTGGGGAATGGATGAATAAACTTTTACCTTGTGGATATTGTACACACACCGTAACGTGTGTGTGTGTGTGTGTGTGTGTGTGTGTGTGTGTGTTGACGGAATAGAGTGTTTGCCATGCCTGAACCCCTGGCTCTGCCTCTCTACCCGTCTGTGATGCGATGTGTGTGCTGGGGCACTTGTGCCTGCGTATGTTCCCAGTGCGAACTCCAAAGAGAAGTACGCCCGCCGGGCCTGTGGGTTCTAACCATGCTTCACCCCCGGGCGATAGGATCGCCCCTCTGACTGACGCCTCCACTCTGTTTGGGCCGGGGCCCCTCGTCTCTCCCTGTGTTTCCTCCTAGGGTTCCCTACCTGCCCTCCCCCCAGCCCCGCACACACACACACACACACACACACACACACACACACACACACACACACACACACACACACACACACACACTGTGCACCGCCACGCTCGGGTCCAGGTCCTCCACCACAGGCATGTGAGTGATGATGCCTCTACCCTCCGACACCTGTGTGTAGGGTTTAGATTCATCGCCTCATGCCCCGAATCCTGCTCCAGAGAGAGAGTGGCAGAGCCTATTAGAAAAGGCTAGCTGTCTGGACAGGCTAGAGTACGAACCGGTGAGAAGGTCGTTCCGTCCGGTGCGGTGCCCGGGGATAAGCGTCACACGGGTGCCACCTCCCCTTCCTTCCCCACCCAGCCAGCAGCGGCTCTCGTTTGGCTTTCCTGTCATTCGGTGATGGGTGAGTGGACTCACGCTTCCCATTGCACGGTCACCGTGGTTTTCCAGACCTGTGTGCGTGACGTAGCTACTCTCTGTGTGTTAGAAGAAACCTCTCTCTGGCCTTCCCCCTGCCCTTTCCCTGCCTGTGAGGGGTGGCGGGTGGGGGCGGGGGGAGGGAGTGTGTTGTGGGGCGGGCGAGGAGCGGACTTTCACAAGTGAGCGGGGTGCCTCCCGACGGCTCGTCTCTTGCTGGAGCCGACCCATCTTTGGGAGTTTTTTTTTTTTTTTTTTTTTCTCTTTCTGGTTTCCATCTGGGGGAAAAAGAAAACAAAACGTACAAACAACCCCCCCCACCCCCCCCCCCCCCAAAAAAAAAAAAAAAAAAGACGGGCAGGCAGACGGTGGGACGAGCGCTCACTTGCCCTTTTCTGGCCATGTTGGGCGGGGGTGGGGGTCTTGCCACGGGCGGCGGAGGTCGTGCGGGTGGCCGGTTCGTTTTCTCTCGTGGTGCGGGCCTGCCGTCTTTGCCGCCCCTTCCTGCTTGGGACCGATCCCAGCTTCCCGGTTCTCGGGTTCGGGCCGCTCCGTTCGGGCGAATCTCGTCCTGGTTCCTGGTTTCACTTTGGTCGCTGGCGGCGGCGGCGGCGGCGGCGGCGGCGGCGGCGGCGGCCCAATCTCGGTCTAGGTCTCTGGTGGCTCTGGTGTCGTTCGTGAGGTCGCAGAGAGGACCCGGCTGCAGGTCCTGACCTAGGTTGTGCCACTCGGTGCGTGGCGGTGGTGAGTGAGGCGATTTGTTTCCGTGTTCTGTGTCTCCGGAGCTCAGAGCCGGCCGGCGCGCGCCGATCCGGGGTACGGCGGCTCGGTGGAGTCGGTCGTTGGAAGGCGGTTGTCGTGCTCCCCCTGGCGTCCGCTTTGATATGACAGTCCCCTCGTTCTCAGCCGAGCGAGCGAGTGGAGGAGGAGGAGGTCTGGCGGCAGCGAGCCGGGCGGAGGCCCGGCCTCTGCCGGGTGCCGGGCGCGACTGTCGCCGTGGTGTCGCTGTGGCGCCGGGGCGGCTGTTCTGTCGGACTTTGCGCCCGCAGGCGAGCGCGGGGTGGGGCCGTGCGTCGCCGCTCTCTCTTCGGTGCCCGGTCTGTGCGGGGGGTGGCAGCTTTGTCGGGTCGACCAGTAGTTCTGTCTGGGCCCGACGCCTTGTCCTCCTCCCCTCCCTGGACTCTGGTCTTTGAGGGCGAAAAAAGGAGAGTACGAGGGACGTCTCGGGAGTCGGGGGAGAGGGTCCCCGGGTGAGCCGATAGGTGGTGGGGCCGGTCCCGGCCCGGACTCGGACCCCCCCCCCCCTCCCCGGAGTCACCTCCGAGTGAGCGCTTGGCGCGTGCCGGGCGCGAGGGCCTGGGTCGCCGGCCCCGTGTGGCCTCCCTCCACGGCCTCCTCCACAGCCCCGGAGGCCGGAGGACAGACCTCTCCGGCGGGAGGAGCCGTGGGCACGGCCGAGGCGAGCCTCGGGGCCGGGACCTACGCCCCCCCCATCCCCGACATAGGATGGTCGTCGGAGTCACCTCCGAGTGAGCGCTTGGCGCGTGCCGGGAGCGAGGGCCTGGGTCGCCGGCCCCGTGTGGCCTCCCTCCACGGCCTCCTCCACGGCCCCGGAGGCCGGAGGACAGACCTCTCCGGCGGGAGGAGCCGCGGGCACGGCCGAGGCGAGCCTCGGGGCCGGGACCTACCTACCATCTGCGGGGACTTGCCCGGTGGGCCCTGCGTAGGGGAAAACTCGAGGCGGAGGGAGCACCTCGGGAGTCGGGGACCCGAGCCCGGGAGTCCCGGGTGTGTGCGTGCTGGCGGCAGGGCGCTCACCACCGACCCCGCGCGGTGTGGGTGTGGTGGTTGGGTGCCTCTCGGAGTGGGTGCCTCGCGTCTGCCGGGGGAAGGCTCCCCGTACCGCCCGTGCGGTGAGCCCGTGCACACCCGGGGTGTGTGCCTGCGAGGTAGTGGGGCGGGAGCGTCCCTTGACCCCGCTCCCGCCCTGGCTCTTCGTCTGTCTTCGCCTTATGTGGTCGACCAGCTGTCCCTGAGAGTTCCGTGTCTGGCTCTGTTGGGGACGTGTTGGGGACAGGTGTCCCTGATGTGGTTTCCGAGAGGTCCCTGTCGCCAGCGAGTTGTCGCCCCTGCCTGACGACCTGGTTTTGGCGTGGTGACGTGAGGATTTTGTACCTGCAGGAGGGTGCTGGCATGCTGTGTCCCGGTGGCTGTCAGCGGGTCTCTGGGGGCTCTCTCGGATGCTGTGTGCCGGGCCTTTCCCGTCTCTTCCCGGTCCGGGTCCCCCTGCCCTTCCCCTCACACCCTGGGCTCCCGCTGCCCTGAGCAGGCCCTGTGTCCCTGTGGTGGCTCGTGGGTGTGGTGGTGGTTGGCAGCTGAGTGAGTCCCGTCGTCCTTGATCTCTCCCCCGCTCCCGGTGCCGGATTCTGGCCCTTGCCTCGGCACGCTGAGGAGGAGAGTGGTTGGTTGCCTGGGGTGTGCGTAGGTAGGGCCCGCACGGTGTGCTTCCCTCGCCGTGGCCGGCCTGAGGAGGAAAAAGGGGGGGGGCCCGCCGAGTCCTGCCTTGCGTGTGCGGCATCCCCGTTCTGCCGTTGGGCTCGCCCGACCTCCGTGGCTTTTTTTTTTTTTTTCCTTCCTCCTATCGCCCCTAGCTCCAACTCCCCCGACCTGCCGCTTCCCGATGGCGGGGCCTGGTCGGCCGCTGAGCTGCGCTACCTCCCGAGCGCTGTCCGTGGCTTTTTTTCTTTTTCTTTTTTTTTTTTTTTTTTTTTTCCTTTTTCTTCCCTCCCTTTCTTCTCCCTCCCTCCGGTGCGGAGAGCCTCTCGTCCCGGGAAACGGGGTGCGGCCGGAAAGGGCGCCGCCCCCACTCCCGTCACGCAACGCACGTTCGTGTGGAACCTGGCGCTAAACCATTCGTAGACGACCTGCTTCTGGGTCGGGGTTTCGTACGTAGCAGAGCAGCTCCCTCGCTGCGATCTATTGAAAGTCAGCCCTCGACACAAGGGTTTGTCTTTTCGACCGGCCCCCCCCCCCCGTCCCGGTGGGGTGGGATGGGGTTCGGGGGCGGTCCCCTTCCCGTCCACCACGTCTCGGGTGGGGGGGGGGCCGCTCCTCCTTTCCGCACGCTCTCGCTCGACTCTCCCGTCCGCGCGCGCGCGGCCGGCGGGCCTCTCGCCCGCACGTCCCCGCCGGCCCGAGGCTGGGGTCGTGTGTGTGTGCGGGGCTCGGCCGGTCGGCGTCGGCGTCGGCGTCGGCGTCGGCGTCGGCGAGGGGGTGGGTGCGGCTCCCGGTTTCGCCCTCCACGTCCCCCCCCTCGCCGCCCGGGTGGCGGTTCCCGGTCCGCGTCCCCGGCGCCGTGGAGAGGGGCGGTCCCGTCCACCCGTCCGCCTTTTCTCCACCCCCCCCGTCCGCGGCGGAGAGGGTGGCCGCCCGAGCGCCCCCTGCTCCGTCTTTCCCTCCGAGACGAGTCGGGTTGACCAGTTGCCACGCGGGGACTTAACCCATTTCCCTCCGCACTTCGGCACCGCGGTCGACCAGTTGTCCGTTCCGTTTCGGACTTAGTCTCTGGGGCTCCGGCTCCGGCTCCGGCCCCGCCCTGGCGGTACGGGGGTCGACCAGTTGTCTTTCCTCTGTCGTACCGGTGAGGGCGGGGATTCGACAGCCGACGTGTTGGGGGCGGGGAAGGGGAGCGGGGGAGGAGTCGTTCGTTCCATAGATCCGCCTCTCCCCTCCCCTCCTCTCCACCCCGCCCTCCCCCCCCCCCCCCCCCCCGCCGCCGCCTTCGGGCTTGCTCCTAATCTTTTTTTTTTTTTTTTTTTTTTTTTTTTTTTTTTATTGTAAAGCTACTATACAGAGGGTTACAGTTACATGAGTGAGGTTATGAGTACACTTCCTCTTGAACATTGTTACCCCCTCCATTGTTTTCCCCCTACCATCCCCTCCCTCCCTCCCTCCCTCCCTCCCTCCCTCCCTCCCTCCCTCCCTCCCTCCCTTCCCCGAGGTTTTTTTTTTTTTTTTTTTTTTGATTGTGATTAAATGCCTAATCTCTCTTTAATATCTCTTTATCTTCCAACCCCTGCTTCCTGACCAGATGGGGATACCTGAAGCACTCAGCAGAAACCAGACAGCCAGAGGGGAACGCGAGCCGTCCATCGCCCCGTCGGTGTGTACGTATGCAGGTGGCATGACCGTCCATCCCCACCTCCCCCGCAGGCGATTACTCGACCACGACCTCCGCCTCCGCCCCCGCCCTTCCCCCCCCCCCCCCCCCGCACCACAATTCACAACCCTACCCTCGGAACAAAATAAAACAAATTTGCTTGGATCTCACACTGCCTTTAATAGGCGAAGGGGAGGGATCTCATGTCTGGTGCCTGACCGGGGCGGGGGGGGGGGGGGGGATTGGAGAGGAGAGAAGAGGGGGCAGAGAGCATCTCCGTGTTTCTGTGTGCGTGCGTGCGCGCACCCGCGCGCGCGCACCCGCGCGCCCACACACATCCAAAGCGGGTGGGGGGGGGGAGGGAGGAAACTCAAAGATCGGATGCGACAGAGCATGTAGGCCAGCCGGACCAGTTCACCGCGTCTCTCTGTCTCTTGTTTCTCTGTTTCTCTATTTCTCTCTCTCTCTGTCTCTCTTTGTCTCTGTCTGTCTGTCTGTCTGTCTGTCTGTCTGTCTGTCTGTCTGTCTGTCTCTCTCTCTCTCTCTCTCTCTCTCTCTCTCTCTCTCTCTCTCTCTCTCGTTTGAATTCTCTCTCCCGCCCGCCCGCCAGCACTCCCTCCCTCCTTTTCCTCTCGACTTGCCAGTCAATCCTGGGGCTTGAGCTACTGGCGCTCCAACACACAACGGTCCCACTCCGACCCTGCCTGCCTGCCTATGCATGGGCCCCATACTCCAACGAGGCACATCATCATCCCCACCCCCACCCCTTCTCTGAAAAAGAAGGCAGTCTCTCTCGGGACCAGCCAGCCTGGGCCTGGAAGAGAAGGACATAAGGCCGGTTTTCTCAGTCAGTCAGTCAGTCAGTCAGTGCGCGGTTTCTTTTTCATGCATTTCATGAGAGAAAACTGCAATTCACAAAACCACCACTAGATGGCGCGCGTTCGCCGTCGACAAGGTGGATGGGGCGGCGGGAGGGGCAAAACACGGGTCGGGTCAGTCACTCGCTCAGTCGGTCAGTCCTCGCCTACCCGGTAGTGGGTAGTGAGAGTTCTGACATACACATACATATAGGTTGTTATCATTCATTATTATCGTCATTTGCTTTTCCTTTTTCCTTTTGGCCTAGTCCTGGGGCTTGGGCTCCGGGCCTGAGCACTGTCCCTGAGTTTCTTTATGCTCAAGGTCACTGCTCTACCACTCGAGCCCCTTCTGGCTTGTTCTGTTTAGGTGGTACTGAGGAATTGAACCCAGGGCTTCAAGCACGCTGAGACACATTCCCAGCCCAGTCCACCTCTGGGATTCCCCCCCCCCCCCCCCCCGCACCGGGTTCTGCCCGCCCGGAACCAGAGGTACGGTACTGTCCTCTGCGAGCTCGTGCTCTTGCATGACGACACGGTAGTACTAATTCAGCCCCGAGGAAATCTTCACTAGGGCATTTTCCCCCAAGTCCACCTCCACTTCTGGCGTTTTGGGTGACCCATCGAGATGAAGAGTCTCAAATGGACTTTCCTGCCCGGGCGGGCTATGAACCACTATCCTCAGGTCTCAGCCCCCTCGCTCAGCACCTCAGACGGATGATGGGCAGTGAGCCACTGCTGCCACCGGCACCACCCGGCCGGTGAGCCTTTGCCTGGGGATTTTCTTTACCGACCGGCCGAAAGGTTTCGTGCCCTACCTGTCTTATGGATAAGTTTGCTCTGTTTTCGGTCTTATTTTTGTCCTCATGGACATCCTTCTTTCCCAAGGAAAAGGGGCCTCGGCTCGGGGAGAGAGTCAATTCCTGAGGCCAGACAATCCATAGGAGGAACTTTCTGCCACAGTGTGGTGTGGTGTGGTGTGGTGTGGTGTGGTGTGGTGTGGTGTGGTGTGGTGTGGTGTGGTGTGGTGTGGTGTGGTGTGGCAGCTCAGATATCACAAGGACTGCCATCTCTCGTGTGCAGGATACCCGGGGAGGGGAACTGCGGGGTGGGGGTGAGCAGAGGCATTTTCTCCTTCCGGAAACCAGATGATGATTGAATAAAATTAGCCATCCATCCTTGAGACATTCTCAAGGAGGTGGGCTGGGAATGTGTCTGGGTTGGTAGACAGCTTCCCCTAAAAACTCGGGCCTAAATGGCGGCGGCGGCATCCATCTTGTTCACAGACCGAGTGTCCACGTTGAGTAAGCAGAGTAAGCAGAGCCCCGCTGGAGTCCACAAGGAAAAGCAAGACCGAGGGGAGGCGGGGAGGCGGGGAGGCGGGGAGGCGGGGAGGGGGGACACAGAGACAGACAGGAGACAGAGAGGCAGAGAGAAAGAGACAGAGACAGAGACAGAGACAGAGAGAGACAGAGACCCAGCGACCGACGGAAAGACACACAGGGGAAGAGATGGAGGGGGAGCGAGAGATCCACAAATCTAACTACACCAACTGAATAATCAGACAGACAGACAGACAGACAGACAGACACACACACACACACACACACACACACACACACACACACACACACACACACACACACACACACACACCACACCGACACACAGGCAGACAGAGGGAGAGATGGGGAGTATAACTAGATCACCTGAATCAACAAACAGGAACAGGCACACATGCCCCCACCACACACACACACACACACACACACACACACAGAGGCAAAGACAAGAGACCGACACACAGACAGGCAGAGAGGGGGAGACATGGAGGGGGAGCCCTAGAGACCCATCAGTGTGACTGACTAGATCACCTGAATAAATTTATTCCTTCCCTGCCCTGCCCTCATGTATGAAGGTAGACGA